TTTTTTTTTATCAAGAACTTGTCGACCATGACAGTTGAAATACCCCACTACAAAGCTAAACATCCCCTGCACGGGGGTATTCCAAAATTCATTTTGTTTTAGCCGATGGGAACGTGAACAGTGCTATCGATCTATTTTTCATTTTTTTATTTTTCATTTGATTTTTCATTTTACGAATACTTTTGTTTTTGATTTGTGCTTCGTCATTTCAAGGTCAAAAACGAAAACCACTTATTAACTCGTGTGATCTATCCGTATAAAACCTCTACTCAGTTTTAGTGTAAATCTACTAGCGTTTCATCACGAATGCCGTTCTCTGATTGGCTACGCAACTCACTATCTATTCTGTGATAGATGGTGAGTAGCGTAGCAGTGTGCCCTTGTTAACAAAATCACGGCCGCTTCTTGGCGTTTTCGAAGTGTCTGTGAAGAAGATTTCGATAAAGTTTTGAACGACTAGTAGGTTTATACTGAAACAATTAGATTATTCGCTCTCGATTTCTATGCGTGATAGGTGACGAGGGCGCAGCCCTCGTCAACTATCACACGATAGAAATCTCGAGCTCATAATCTAATTGCTTAATATGAAAAAGTACAGTATATAGATATCTGACCTGTAAATTGTTGTTCCTTTGTAACAAACAAAATGAATCAAAGCCACATCAGGTTTGATAACTGATTTAGTGTGTTGTAGGGCGGCTGTGAGGTCAACTCGCTCAACGTCATTCGTTATTTCTTCTCTTTTCTCAACGTCAATGATGGAAGAGAGTTTCTTCACAAATGACCAAGTGCCATCTGGCCTAACAATGGCGTAGCTAGAGCGATATTTTCCATTACCCATGTCATCAGAGAAAGCGCCACAATAAAGAATGGTTATCTTGAAACTGAAGTCGTCGGATGGAGAACCCAGTAAATGCAAAATCTAAAGTGATTTGAAATTAAACTAAGTTAATAAAGAGATGTACTTATACTCAATGAATCCAGATTGACAGGCACCGGTAGGTTCGCAAAAGAGCAGCGCAGTGATCTTGCTATCTTTGAAGAAGAAGAATGCATATAACGGGGATCGACCATATTAAAAATTAAACTAGTTGGCCATGTAATCCCTCATTTTCTCTTGGTCTTTGTCAACTTTGCCATTTAGAAGCGACTCTCTGATTGGATCAGGACGGAGGAGGCGACTCTATAGCTGGTTTTCACATGACGTCACTAAAATTCAAACTACAAAACTATTGATCTTCCCAAGATTTTACTTTAATGATGTATAAGAGCTGCTGAAAACTAATATTCATACAAATTTTCG